CCAGCTGCTTGGGGGACTGAGGCAGGAAGATCACTTGAGCCCAGGAGGTCAAAGCTGCAGTGAGCTGAGATCACGCCACTCTGTCACCTAGGCTGGAGTACAGTGGCGCAATCTCAGCTCCCTGCACCCTCTGCCTTGCAGGCTCAAGCAGTCCTCCCATCTCAGCCTCTCAAGTCATGGAGACTACAGGCATGTGCTACCATGCCTGGCTAATTTTTGATTTTAGGGTTTTTGGTTTGTTTTGTTTGAGATGGAGGCTCGCTATTGTCACCCAGGCTGGAGTGCAGTGGCACGACCTCGGCTCACTGCAACCTCTGCCTCCCAGGTTCAAGCAATTCTCCTGGCTCAGCCTCTCGAGTAGCTGGGATTACAGGCACCTACCACCATGCCCTGCTAATTTTTTGTGTATTTTTATTGGAGACTGGGCCTCACCATGTTGGCCAGGCTGGTTTTAAACTCCTGACCTCAGATGATCCACCCGTCTTGGCCTCCCAAAGTGCTGAGATAGCAGGCATGAGCCACCGTGCCTGACCTGGGGTTTTTTTGTTTTGGTTTGTTTTGGTTTTTGGAGGGGTGAGTAGAGACAAGGTTTCACCATGTTATCCATTATTCTCTAGTCTAGAACTCCTGGGCTCAAACAATCAGCCCGCCTTGGCCTCCCACAGTGCTGGGATTACAGGCGTGAGCCATCATGCCCAGCCCCCAGTGTTCTCAGTGTACATTGGCACTTGCCAATTTCCCCTTTAACCACGGAGACCAGACCCCAGGCCCAGCACCTTCAGCAGGCCCAAGCATCTAGCTAGAATTTGGTAATACTGTTTTCCTTGTATTTATATTTATAATTGCCATCTATTTATGGCAAGTGAGAATTATTTTTCACTTAAGATAAAGTTTTCTATTAAAATAAATGTAAGGAAAGAGAAGGAGGTAAATTTAAAAAAATGGTTAAGCAAATAATGGAGCAGATGGTACACAGAGCAAGCATTCAGATGATGGCATGCAAATAACCAACTCTCATGGGAACCAACTTAGTCCCAAATGCACACCAACCCCATTTATAAACCAAGAGCTACTTCCAAACCCTCCATTAAGGGGCCTGTGGAGAAGTGGGTGGGTCAGGCTTCAGGCTGGAGCTTCTTGAGGCTCCAAGTGACGAGGGGAGACCAGGATTTTCCCCACCACATTGGGTTCTACAGCCTTGAACTCCTGGGCTCAAGATATCCTCATGAGCCACCATGCCTGGCT